CATCTATAGCATTGGCAACAACAACAACAACTACGGCGACGACGTGTCCAGACGTGCTCAGACACGCGCTCGCATTGGCTCTCATGTGTGCGACTCTTGCTCCCAGCCACCCACTCGAGATAATACCAAGCAACCAGCCAGCAGGAGCAGCAGGAGGAGCAGCAGCAGGAGCTTCATTGGGGCCTGGAATTGCTGCCCTGCTTGGCTTTGCCTATTTTATGATTTATTGTATTTTTTTTTTTTTCTCAGCTGCCCCGCAGCTAACCAACTAACTTAGCCATCACAGAGCTTATTACGCTGACCTTTACACAGACACACGCACTCTCACACACACACTCACACACGCACACGCACACGCACACATGTTTCGCTTAAGTAAAAATAATGTAAAAGCAAAAATTTGCCATGTCGATGCTTTGAAGCTTAAGAGTTCTCCAACTTCTCCAAGTTGTCTATGCGAGCCCAAATGGCTTCTGGGTGTAAGGGGGGGAGGGGAGGAGTAGTTGGGGATAGAGCGAGCGATCCGAAGAACTAAAGTGTCCAGCTCATTGAGTAAAGCTCAGTTAAGCCTTCTTATGCTTGTCTTTATTAATTTACTGTTTTTATACCCTGAACCCATTTTCAATGGGAAATCAGGGTATAATGGTTTTGTTGAAATGTATGTAACAGGGAGAAGGAGGCGTGGCAGACCCCACAAAGTATATATATTCTTGATCAGGGTGACGAGCTGAGTTGATTTGGCCCTGTCCGTCTGTCTGTCCGTCTGTCCGTCTGTCCGTCTGTCCGTCTGTCCGTATGTATGAACGCGTCGATTTCAGAAGATATAAGAGCTAGAGACTTCAAATTTTTTTAAAATGTCCGTAATTACAGCGCGCATATCAAGTTTATCATTAAAAATCGATAACTCATCTCGATCTTTTTTATCGATAAAAAACCTTATCGAAACCCAGTTATAAAATTATATCTTCTACACCTTTATTGCTAGAGACTCCAAATTTTTAATGTATGCCTATATGCAATTTATACAATTTCGGTTTTTGTTAAAATTTACCCCCCACCTCTAAATTCTCCCCCTCACCCTCACTTTTGTAAAAAGCGTATTTCAAATACTAGAGACTTGTGCTTTGGCAATTACATGCATATTCATGTTATAATCATAATCTAAAAATTTCATGAAGATCGTACGTCCATAAAAAAAGTTATTAAACAATTAAGTTCTCATAGTAAGCGCACACTGCAGCCCATGCGTGTTTATGCGTGGTTGCTTGTGTGTGTATGTGTTTGTGTATGTGTGTGTGTATGTCTGTGTATGCGTTTGTGTATTTATGCGTGTGTGTGTGTATGTGTGTCTGTATGCGTGTGTATGCCTGTGTGTGCGTACGTGCGTGTGTGTGTGTGTGTGTGCGTGTTTCTTATGTAAACTGAAAGTCGCGAAAAATTATTGAAATATCTATTGCTCCAAGGGTTCAGGGGATCTCGTAGTCGAGCAGTCTCGACTAGAGCTTTCTTACTTGTTTATTATTTATTTTGTGCATTTTGTGCATTTTGTGCATTTTGTGGCAATGCCACGCTGAATCGTAGGACTCGGCCCAGATGTGCATTACAATTGCCAGTTAAACATAAAAGTTGCGCTTTTCCCCACGAAAACGAGAGGAAAAAGCTAGCAAGCAAGAGGAAAGGAAACAGAGATAGCAAGAGAAAGAGAGAGACAGAGACTGTCAAATGTATTTTTCTATAGAATTTAAAGCAAAAGAGCTCAAGCTCAGTTACATGGCGAAAATGAGTTATGAAACTACACGAATTGAAAGCAAGCACAGACAGCTCTGGTTGGCAATGCTCAACTAGAAGATACCCTGTTGATGGTATATGGATATACAGTGTCTAACATTAATATTCGGTTTTTTATTTTTCAATTTCAACCGCCCATAAAACAAATAATATTAGTTGAAATTATATCAGTGAAAATGCTAAATTGTAGGTTGCAGCATTACCTTTCCGATGAGGTATATGTATATCAGTATAGTATATTTAATAAAACTAACAACAATTTTACATAAACCGAAAAAGCACAAAATTTGGCGTTACTTTAATATTCGATTTTTTCTTTAACAACTAACCAAATTCGAGTTCTATTAAAAACGGTTCACATTTAACATTTGGTATGATATCCATTATATTTTAGAGTGTCCCTAAGATGTGTTTGTGTAGTGGTTATAGTTTTTGTTCTGTCCTTGGAGCCGATTTTGGCCCACTCTTCCTGTAGCCATGTCTTTAGGTAAGATATTGAAGATATCGATGTTTTGTGACCTCGGTAGTGTAGAGGTTTCTTACATAAGTAAGTTAGAATCGCAAATGGAAATGTATTAACAGAGGCAGACTTTGTAAGGTGTATATGTATGCATGTATAGATTTTATGAGGACGATGAGCTGAGTCTATTTAGCCCAGTATGTCTGTCTGTCCATCCATCTATCCGTATGTTTCAATGCTTCGCTGTTATGACGGTATTGCACAGATCGAGCTTGTTTTTTTTTATCGATAACTATACTCGTTATAGTGTTATCGAAGAAAAGATCTTATACAAAATCTGTTATTAAATTATATCTCGCATATCAATAGCGAGAGTCTCCAAATTTGTCGTATAGAAGTCCTATATACCTATTACATATGTAGTCCAACTGCAAGCGCCGTCTCTGTGTCAACTGCGCAGTTAGCAGAGTGCGTGCCTGCGTCTATGTATGTAAGTGTGTGTGTGTCTGTGTTTCGGGTGTTTGTAGAAAAGAGGCGTAGGATAGATTGGAATATCAGTTATGCGAAGGGCTCAGGGCATCTCATAGTCGAGCAGTCTCTACTAGAGCACTCTTAGTTATTTGTGATTGATGTAGATAAAAACACTGGGTAGTCTTCAATCTGACTGTTGCTTACTGATTTAAAAATCTTCCTTTTTTGATGCTAAATCCTACCAGGATCTGTCCTACATTAATGATTCTACATTCATGCTGAAGCCATTCTATAAGCTGCTCAAGGTCAGCACCGTTATCCGTACGCCGGCATACTATAATCTACTAGAGACTTGACTATATTTCTACCAATTTCTCCACTTATCGATAAAAATCGATAGTTTAAAGCGACTCTTAAAGCACAAGTTGACAACCACGAAAGCTTTTCCAGTGGCCCAGACACCGATTGTAAGTCCCTGGATGCTTTCCCCAGGTTTTGCGGTAACACTTAGTCAATCCTGGTTGCTTGGCTCATTTGCAAACAGCTCGCGTTGCCACAGAGAATATGTCAACTAAATTTCGTAATGAACTTCCCCGGACAGCAATACAGAGTTCAGCTATGCTTATTGGCCATCGCAAGTGCCGTTATGACATCATTGAACAGTTTGAAAACCACCGGCTTGCGGCGACCGGCTTAGACAGAGGCCGAGCCGAGCGGAGCAGTTAGGCCGACCCTTGTCGGCAGCCATAATGTGGCCATCATCTGTTAAGAGAGTGTATAGAGCTCACCTAATGGAGCAAACTACATGCTAAACACTTGCTCGGTGATGGCAGATGGGGTAGCTGGGGTAGCTCGGGTAGCTCGGGTGGCCAGCTCTTGGCTATAATTGAGTTTGAAGTTTTTAAAGATTTTTGCCTTGAGCTGGCCTCAGCATGTTTCGTTTTTTATTTTTATTTTTATTTTTTCAACTCTCCCATGGGTATTCGGCTGACATCTAAAGTTCATCTAAAGAATAAATAACGGTCGCAGCGCAACTGTCCGGCGCTTAGCTGAGCATATTTTGCTCATTTTCTATTGGTCATTCGATAAGCATCTGTCGAGGCCCGTTCTCATCGTCATCATTATCCTTGTGCCTGACCACAGTTCATATGTGTATGTGTGTGTATGTTTGACTATCTATGTGTTGGTAAATCAACTGCCAGATACAGTTAGCTGTCCTGACTACAAGCACTACCACGGTGAGCAACTACTGCCACTACCACTACCCCAAGCACTACCCCTACCCCTACCCCTGCTAGGCCCAGCCAGTTCTTGTTTGTTTATTATTTATTTACAATATTTTCTTATTCAAAATGAAGCCGCAAGCCGCTTGGAATTATTGATGGCAAACATACGAGTTGTCCGCCGGGCCGTACCGGGCCGTACCGGGCCGGGCCGGGTCGGGTCAACTAACCCCTTTGCCCACTAATATTCTCTAGCTGGCAGGCATTTCTTCCCTTTTCCTTTTGCTTTTCCATTTCCTTTGCCTCTTGCCTTTACTTCTTATTTCTTATTTATTTTTTCATTTTTTTTCTCTCTTTCTCTCTCTGTCCCTCTCGCTTCGCTTTTTCTCTGTTTGCCCCATGCGCCCGCTTCAAGAGTTTTTCAAGTGCGGTCGCCAAAAAGTTCTTGACTCAATTTACAAAATTTGCTTGCTTTCAGTTTCTGTTTTTATTTTGCATTTTGTGTATCGTATTTTTTTTTTTCTGCGCTCGCCAGTTAAAGATTATTAACTTTTAAATTATGTAGACGACAGGGCTGGCAATAGGCAGCGCGGTCGCCAGAGTGTCAAGTTCATTAGCCGGCAGGAGCACGAGCTGGTGGTAGGGGGGAAGGGCGGAACTAGAGAAACTGAAGACCCCAAGACTCAGAGATTCGGAGATCCGAAGGCGCGCGGCGGGCAGTCGGAGTTGGGGTCAGCCTTTGGAAATTATTTGGAGCTTTTTCAATATTTATCGTGGCACTGATGATTTATGTGCTTTGGGCTTGCCACACACACACACACACACACACACACACACACACACACATACATACATGCATGTATACATAATAAATGTATGCTGGCTCTGCGGATGTGCTGTCTGTGAAGCTGCAAACAACAGACTATAATAAATAAACATTTACGAGCCATGTGGCATATTCTAACCAATACACTGAATCTCTCTTACTCATTCTCCCCCTCTCTCTCTCTCTCCCTCTCTCTCTCTCACACACACACACTCTGTGTGCGACTTTATAGAAATGAAAAATTCTATACGTGCTGCGATGAGCCATATCTGGATATAACATTTAACATCACCATGAGACGAAAGACGCTCTTCTACACGGTCAACCTGATCATACCCTGCATGGGCATCAGTTTTTTAACGATTTTGGTATTTTACCTGCCATCGGATAGCGGCGAAAAGGTGAGTCTCCATCATCTTCCATCACATTGTCAACATTTACAGTCAGCCAGCATCAGCAACATTTCTCTTTAACAGTTTCATTTTGATTTCATTGACTATTTTTATTTTATATTTTTCTTTATATTTTAATTTGTATTGTCTCTCGGCCAATTGCCATAATTTATTGCACACACAGTTTTCACAGAGGCCCCCATTGCAATGTGCTTTTAATTAAAAACAAAAAAGAGAGAAAATTAATATATATCTATTTAAACAGTGGCCAACTAGCTGACTATCAAATACCCTGCAATTGACGTAGCAAGCAAAAGTCGCAGGAGTTCAAAGTGCCAGATAAATTTCGTTGATGTGGCAACTCTCTTAGCGCTAATCAGCGATATTTATCGTTCGTACTTAACGTACTATAAGCGTGTATACAACTTTATTCATTATACTCATTCGCGTAAGTGAAATGGGTATATTAGTTTTGTGCAGTGTCCATCTTATTGTCCGTCCGTCCGACCGGGCAATTCGATAGCATTTGAGCCGTGAATGAGTATTCTGCAGTCGGTAACGCCCGACTGCAACATTGTTAATCGTTTTATTTAAATTGGTACGAGGTATACGGGCTTCATGCTCAAATGCGAATAAAAAATGAAAATGCATTTCCACATCTTTCGCGTCTTTTTTATGCTATTTGCCGCCATTTAACTTTGAATAAATAAAATTACACGTTGTATTCAATTTAATGTGAGCAGATATGCACACACACATGCAAACACACACACACACATGGGCAAACGAACGGCGAGTGCGATTCGCTCTGTGCATTTCTCAGCGCTCAAAGTGGTAAAAAAAAAATACAAAATAAAATAAAAAAAATAAAATTTAAAAAAAAAAAAAAAAAAAAAAAAAACATTTAAAAAGTAGGAAAAAGTTAGAAAGGTTTTTTGAAGAGTAAAAAAAAGGGAGCAACATAATACATAAATATAAATATTTACATACTGTGGGGACTTATGAATAAATTACGGCCAATTTTCAAAATAAATAAAACGCAAAAATAATTTGTATGTGAGCGCGGTTTTATAAACCTCTAGCCTCGCTGTCGCAGTCGCCGTCGCCGTCGACGTCGACGTCGGCATCGGCAGAGGCCATCATGCATAATTTGTGTAATAAATATTGACAGTGCATTTGATGGGCAACGGCAATTGGCTGGTGATATTGGCCGTAAAGCAGCATTCGCCAGAGAATTCACAAATTGAAATTGCACGAGTTAAATAATTACATCGCCTGGCATTTAATGAAAACCGTAAATGCAAATACTGGCATATTCAGGCTGCTTGCCCGGCGACCTCTTTGGCTGCATCAAAAGCAATTTGCGTGGCACTCGCTGATTCCTTGAATCGGTCACTCATTGAATCATCGTATAATTGACTCGTTGAACTCGATTCCTCGACTCGTTGACTCAACAACTCAGTGAGTCGCTGGCTGCTTGAATCGTTGACTCAATGCATCGACTAGGTGACTCGCTGTTCATTGATTCCTTGAATCGGTCACTCATTGAATCATCGTATAATTAACTCGTTGACTCAACAACTCAGTGAGTCGCTGGCTGCTGGAATCGTTGACTCAATGCATCGAGTAGGTGACTCGCTGACTAAACTAATCGTTGATTCATTGATTCCTTGAGTCGGTAACTCCTTGATTCATCGCTGATTTCTTGAATCGTTGACTCATTTGTTCCTTGAATCGGTAACTCGTTGATTCGTTGGTTTCTTGAATCTCCGACTCTACCAGTGAAGGATTCAACGACTGATTGAGGAAACTAATCAAGAAAGCGTTCACTCGCTGATCCTTAAATCGTTGACTCATTGATTCATCGATTCGGTAACTGGCTGATTAAACTTATCATTGACTCATTGCTTCCTTGAATCGTTGACTCAATACGGTGATTAGGTGACTAGAGAACTAAGCTAATCGTTGACTCATTGATTCCTTGAATCGGTGGCTTGTTAACTAATTGACTCGTTGATGACTCATTGATTCATTAGTTCCTTGAATTCGAACCTCATTGATCCCTCGAGTCATACAGTAGTTGACTGGTTGTTTCATGAGAGAAACCAGTACTACACTAGCACCCAATGTCAGAGTTTAGAAATAAAACTGTGCCCAGAAGGTAAGGCTTTTCTGAAATGACTGACTGATGTAGAATGAAGGAAAGAGAGATAAGTCTATGTACATATGTATAGGATTCTATTTGATGTAAGTAGAATTTGAAGTTATTCACATCATAAGATTGTCAAACGAGTAGTCAATGATTTATATCAAAAGCAGCGGTATCTATAAAAAAGAGAAAACTAAAAGTTACCAAAGTTATGCTAATGATTTATTTGTATCATTCGCTCTGGAGTCAATGGAACTGCCACCAGTTGATTGGATATGGAAATAGGAAATGGAAACAAAATTAATTGCTGATGTGAAGCACACTTCTAAGAATGATAAAAGTGATAACAGCTTGTCGCATAACATTTCTTGGCTTAAGACAGATTTTACGTATAACAGAGCGAAATCCGCCTTGACCATGATTTAGATAGAAATGAAGGACAAGATAAGCGTTAAATAGTTGAAAAAGGAAAAAACGAGAAACAAGGAACGAGGAACGAGAAACAGCAACAACAACAACAACAACAACAACATCATGACGAAAAATGGAACGGAATGCGCCTATGGCAACGACATTTCAGTTTCGGCTCGCTCGAATAAACAATTCATTGTGTTGTTTTTATTTTACGAGCCAAAGTCCTCGGGCCGTGCTCCGTTGTTGTGTGTATGATTCGTTTTATGGTCACACATACTGGACCAGCTGGTCAAGTGGACTGATGGACATAAGCACACACACGCACACATGCACACACACATACACACACACACAGTGGGCCCGCACAAATATTTACGCCTAAAAGCGGTCAACATATTGAGCCGAGAGCCAGCAGATTCCAGTGTCCGAACTGAACTGAACTGAACTGAACTGAGTTGAAGTTGGGAATAACTATGGAAACTTTTTGCACGTAGCCCTATCCCGCTCCCGTTCCTGGCATGGCCAATCGAAGCTGGAATCGGATTCAGAATTGGAATTGGAATTGCAATTGGCAATTTACATGCATATGCGGCGGAACGCACTCCATTCATTCAATTGCCGGACAGCGTTCGTGTCCAATACTAAGTAGCCGGCCTGGATAGCACAGCAGACCAGACTGGGCAGCTACCCTTTAATTTGTTGTTGTATTTGGCTACTTTTTATACTCTGAACCCATTGAAAATGGGAAATCAGGGTATAATGGTTTTGTGAAAAGTATGTAACAGGCAGAAGGAATCATCGCAGACCCCATAAAGTATATATATTCTTGATCAGGACGGCGAGCTGAGTCGATATAGCCCTGTCCGTCTGTCCGTCCGTCCGTATGAGCAAAAGGATCTCAGAAGATATAAGAGCTAGAGAGCTGAAATTTGGCATGCATACTCGTGTATACCATAGGCAGTACGATAACTCATCCGATAACTTTTTTATCGAGAATAATCGAAAAATCGACTTAGTTTTTTCAGCATAGTTTTAACACTTTTAAACCTGGAGACTTCAAATTTGCCTTGTATATAGAGTTAATGGACACAAAGATTTTGTAATTTACAGATTTTGGATACCACGCCCTTTTCGCCCCCAATTTGTAAAAAACGCATTTCAAGTACTAGAGACGTGTGCTTTGGATTGTACACACATTTTAACCATATGATTACGCTCTGAAAGTTTCATTAAGATTGTCTATAAAAGAATTATTCAACAAATAAATTCTCATAATATTGCCCATACTGCAGCGCAACCCAAGCGCAGTCGCTTCTTACTGTGCAGTTAGCAGAGCGCAGGATTATGCGTGAGTGTGGATGCATGTGTATGTATGCGTGCATAAAAGAAGTGCAGAATGATTAGAATATCAGTTTAGAGGGTTCAGGGTATCTCCTAGTCGAGCAGTCTCGACTGGAGCCTTCTTACTTGTTTCTTTTTTTGTTGGTATTTTATTGTTGAAGCAATTACATTTGATGTGGGTCAATCGCCGCAGCAGTCGTCGAGCTGCGGCTAAATGCGACAGCCGCGAAAAAGTAGTGCACATAAATTGCACACACACAAAGAGAGAGCAGTGAGAGAGAGAGAGAGAGAGAGAGAGAGAGAGGGGCATTTACATAAATAATGCGCTCGGGCTGTGATCCTTAAACTCGGTGATTTCAGCTTAAGGACTTTGTAAATGTCGCCGCTTGTCAAAAGCAAGTCGCAGCCTTAATTAGTCAGCGCACTAATCGCTTTACAGCACTTTGCGAAACTAAGGCTAATTATCATAAAATCATTAGGCATCAAATTTATGCCACACACATACACACACACACACATATACACGAGCACACACACACACACAATGAAAGGCATTTGGGTTTTTGTGCACAAAGCAGCTGAAGCAGCGCCCAAATTGTTCGTCTCAGTTTCGACATTTAATTACTTTTTCAACACACTTCATTACAAGCAGCTTACACACACACACACACACACACACATACACAGACGTGTATACATATATAAATAAAAAGACTACGCCTGTGGGCGTGGCAGGCAGCTAAAGCACCTGGGCCACCTGCCCTGACCTACAGTCGAGCCAGCTGCGCTTAGCAGTTAATACAACTTGGCAGCCGCTGACTGCCGTTCACTCATCCATTCACTCTTTCTCGCTCTTTTCCCCCACACACACACACACACACACACACACACTTGCACATATATCAAATCATATTGAGTTTGCTTTATTGAGCAAGCTGCGAAGTATGCTTTGGTTTTTATGTGCTTGGCTCCGCAATATATGCTGCGTATATTGAAAGCTGCCTGCTACAGTGGGCTAAACGAGCAATTTATTGGACAAAAATAATAATAATACTACTGCAGACTATGGGTGTTTTCTGATTGATTCAAAATTGAACGGCTGAGTTTTTACCTTATTTAGCAAATCTTAACAGTCACCTAACATATATCTTAATTAACAGATAGTGAGATAACAGGCCTAAATAGCTGTTCTACGTAACATATATAAACATTAATTATATGTTTAGCATTTATATATATTAGCTTAACATACATTAACAGCTATTTAACATTTCTGCTGCACAACAGAGGCTTAGCTGCTTAGACAGCCTAACATAGCTGTTAAAGAGTTGCTGCCTTAGATAGCTTAACATTTATTTTACACAGCGGACGTAAGCAACTACTTAATATTTCTAAGATAAAATGTATATTCATTTTATATATATTATGAACTGGCTTAGCTTAGCATTCGTAATTATCAATAGATCCCAATTTTTTATGACTTTTATTTATATGATAAACTAATCATTTATTAGCAATAGATTGATATTGACATTGCATTACTCTATTACGTGAAATGTTAAAAAAAAAGGGTTTGACTGGCGTGAAACTGGCCAGAAACATTTCTGTTAAATAGCCTATGTTAACCTATAAATGCAATATACAATATATAGGTATATAAGAGTATATAAGACTTTTTAGCTATTCAAATGAGAATAAGGGATATTTGACAGACAGCAGGCGTGATCGTTCCTATAAAGTAAATATACTCTGGGCAAGCAAGCTAATATAGGTATATCCATAAATAAAGCATTTTCATGTATTCATTATCATTGCCTAATTGAACTTTTAGGCATATTTCAGAAGTTTTAGTATCTGCTTAATCAAATTTATATATATTTCTCTGCAAATAAAAATTTTTAAACTATTTCAAATGCTACAGAATACTTGCACTACAAATTGGATGGGTAATGGGTATCGGTGGGTGGTCAGTTTCGCCCGCTTCAAGCACTTTTGATTGTTTTAAGCAAAACAAAGTCAATTGGACCCACAGTAGGTGACAGTGAGGCTTAGTCATACGGCTCGCAATGTGTTTATTTATATTGCTTGTTGTTGGATCTTCTTTGACATCTTCTGTTTGTTTATGTACATTTCACACATACCAACGCACACACACACACACATACACACGCACAGCAAGAGAGAAATCAATGACAATTTGTTTTGACTTTTTATATTAATAGCTCAAGTATAAAATTGCTAAAAATACAAAAATGCTCGCAAATGATTCGAAATTAATTTCTTTTTTTACTGCGCAAATAAAGTGAATGTGGAAATGGTTAAAAAAACACACACACACGCACACACATACACGCAAAAAGCATGGGAGAAAGAAGAAGAAATATGTAATTACGTGTTTACACGCTGCTTAACCGAGTGCCATATAAATTAGCAGAACAGCTTCGAGGACATCGTTAAATAAACTCTTCGAATCGAATCATTATTCACAATAAATAAAAGCGAACAGCCAGAGCAATAGCAAAACGAAAACAGAGTAGATGAGAGCTCGAATTTATATGACCAAATCATAAGAGCCTAAGCTAGTTCAATTTTGTTGAAAGACAATAAAAAGAAATGACATTCAACTGGTTGTATAAATATTTAGATATGGGAAAGTTTTTGATTTACCTTATTATCCATATTTATCCATATATTGTAATATGATTTTCCGGAATGCGAATCAGAGATGAATAGAAAATCAATGATTGAGGATGCTCCATTCAAAATATATTTGTCTTCGTTTGTTGACCTGAACATCTTCCTCATTTGTAAAGAATTCATACATGAGCTTTACCCATATTTCCTACCCCCTAACATATCGATTCTTCCCCTTAGCTATGTATCCTATGTTAGAATTAACTGCCTTATCTGGAAAAGTACTTAAAATCGTATCGATATACATACATATTCAATCATAAATGAGTTGACTTGAATTGACTTGACTTGACTTGTTTCATGTTCATGTTTAAACTTGTTTTGTCGTCCTTCAACTCAATTCAGAAATGCAAAAGTTCATGCTTTTGATAATAAGCATGCATAAAGCCTTATCAGCAATTGTGTGTGCACATTCTATGGCGTCAACGACACCCATTACCATTACCATCCCAACACGGCATCTAGTTGCTTTTCCGTTCACCTGCAACTCAATTTCCCAAATCCCTTACACTGTTCCGTTGCCCATCTGAAAAAAGCTGCAAATGAACTTGACTAAAAACATCACAGACATTATACACTCCCATTGCGCTATCGCCCTCTCCTCCTTCCCCTCGCTCACTCTCACTCTCTCCCTCTCTCTCTCTCTCTCTTTCTCTGTGTAGTACATATTTGTGACTCTGTTCTGTCTCTGTCTGTTGCAGGTCTCATTAAGCATATCCATTCTGCTGTCGCTCACTGTGTTCTTCCTGCTGCTGGCGGAAATCATTCCGCCCACGTCGCTGGTGGTGCCGCTGCTCGGCAAATTTGTGCTCTTCACAATGATACTGGATACGTTTAGGTGAGTGAATACATATATGAATCTAAGTGCGAATGTGAGTGCGAGTGCCGGTACGAGTATGACTGTGAATATGAATGCGAATATGAATGATGCGAATGCGAATGTGAATGTAAATTCCAGGACGCACACGCACTCGTTCGATTTGCATGCCAACTGATAACGGTACACGCTAACCCCCAGGTGGGCGTGTCTGTTCACCTGTCTGCCGTCTACCGTCTGCCGTCTGCCGTCTGGTTCTCCCTTGTTTATGAGACAGCTGCCATGGCGGAAACGGATGCAAAAAATAAAAATGCATGCGCAACCGTTATTTTTCTTATTTGAATACCCATTAAACATGTGCGCGAAACGTGTCAGCTGCAGCATGCCGTTGCCTTTGACATAACACTTGAGGCCTCACAAATACATCTCCAGTATCCAAGTCAAGATGGGTCCCACAGCTTAGCTGATATTATTCAAGAGCTCATAGCGACTGGAGAGCTTCCCAAATTATAGAAAACGAACTAAGGCGGATCGAAATACATGCCGGGTTTTATTATCGATCAGAATCAATTAAATAATCGAAATTCAATTAATTTAATCGTTTGACTAAAATCGATAACAAGTTTTAAATAAATTATTCGATTGGAGTTATCGATTAATTGTCTAATTAAAAAGTAATTGATAGATTGTTTGATATCGATATAACATATAAATTCAAATAAATATTCGATCGATCGCTTAAATTATTTTAATACTCTTTATTGAAGTCTTACCAGGTATTCCAGCAACCCCATTATGAACTTATTGTCAATTTCAAATTTACATCACATAGGAAAGCAGATGCATTTCAAATTATATCGATAATTTAATTAGTTTTCTAATTTCAATAAAACCGATTACTCGATGACCGAATCGATATCAAATTCACATCGTAGCATAATAAATACCTTTTTATTTGACCGCTTTTCTAATTCCAATAAAAATTATTGATCGATCGATCAATATCGATATCGTAGTTCAATAACTACATATAATTATAAACTTTTCTAATTTATATAGACAAAATCGAAGTCGAATTTCATTCATAGAAATAATAACAATTTTAGTATTAATCATTTTTTGCAAAATCAATTAAAAGTCATCGGCTGATCGATTAATACCGATATCGAAATTCCAGTCAATTATAGGTCAGTTTCAAATATTTTTAGATAACGTTTATTTAGCACATGGGCTCTCTAGAGCTATATAATACTATTCAGTTCTACAATTTTTAGCCAATAGTCGGTAAAGTTCAGAAAGGACTTTACTTTGAACATGTTTGACTCGTAGCCTAGGGTATCTGCAAGTCTGGCATGCCCAACTGCAGATATCTTAAATGATATACATGTATATTTACATATGAATATATAGCTTAACTCCCATTAACTATCTCAGATGAGCATATCTCTCTTTACTATTATAACTAGTAAATGTCTTAACTCTATCAACAAATTCCACATGATTAGGCAGAGAAGCGATAAATAGTATATGACCACAGCGTATCTGTGTGGCATTTCCTTTACAAGATTGTAGGGTATCTGTTTGGTCGTGCCCTTTGACTTTGGCTGACGGTCTGGCACGGCCCCGGACGGGACTCGACTCGACTCGACTCGACTTGACTTGACTTGACTTGACTTGACTTGACTTAAAGCCCGCCTCGACTGGACCATCGTTGGGCTCGGCAAGTCCAACTCCAAAACTGGCGCCGTAAATTTACAGCCGTTTGCCACGCCCACAGCTGGCGCACAAATGGCCGCCTAATTGTTGTTAAACAAAAGTCGAGGCTGTCTTGGCGCTCAGGGCTGGCTCAGGTTGTGCCGAGGACAATGGCGCAACAGGACTCTGACTTGAACCACAAATGATGTAATTAAGCCAATGGCCATAACACCAACAGTCGGCCAGCCTCAGCCTCAGCCTCAGCCTCAGCCTCAGCCTCTGTCTCAGCCTCTGTCTCAGTCGGTGCCTCTGCCTTCGTGTCTGCCCTCGTCTCTGCCCCTGTCTGGACAAAAGCTAATTAGACAGACGTGGGCGTCACAAGTTAATTAGCCGGACTAAGAGGCGCTGAGACGGCACCGACTTAAGCCCCCTTAACTCACCAGCCCCGCCCACTAACCAAGAACTTGCCCTGCTTCTATCTCTCTTGCAGCATCTGTGTAACAGTGCTGGTGCTCAACATCCATTTCCGGTCACCGCAGACCCACACGATGGCGCCCTGGGTGCGCACGGTGTTCATCAATCAGCTGCCGCGTTTCCTAGTGATGCGTCGACCACTCTACCCGATCAGCGAAATGATGTATGTAAATTAATCTAACCCCCCCCTCTCGCTCTACCCTACTCCTCTTTTCTCCATATATATGTGTATTGTGTGCTTTCCTTTATCTGCAGCAAGTCGTCGCGCCGCCTCATGGTGCGCACCTGCAATGGACTTGAGCTGAGGGATCAAATACCACCGCTGCCACCGCCTGTGGCTCTGTCCCGGTAAGTGCCGCAGCCTAGCGAAAGCCAACTTCTCTATCTAATGTTGTCTCTTGTTCCCCCTCCCCCTCGCCCACCTTTCATGCCCTTTGCAGCATGCATCACAGCCCAAAGACCACGTCGCGCAGCACCTCGCCGCATCTACAGCACCGGGTGCAGGCCATGAGCCTGATGGACGAGCTGGGCACTGTGGGCGGCTGCGGCGGTGCATCGACGATCACTGGGCACCTGAGCTCGCTGTATCCGCCGACCATCTCGACAGTCAATCAGCAGACCTCGACCACATCCTCCCTGATTGATGCCCAGTACCATAATCAGTATCAGCAGACGGGCGGCTCCCTGCTGGATCATCCGCTGACGCCGACCAAGTTCCGTCAGATGACCTCCACCTCTAGCCAGACGGGCCAAAACGGATCGGGTCATCATCATTATAATGTCGGCGGTGGATGTGGTGGCGGAGGTGGTGCTGGTAGTGCTGGCGGCGGTGCTGGGAAGAGCATCTCCACCACCGCACTGGCGCACCAGGCCAGCCAAGTAGGTAGCTATCATCTGTACCGACAGCAGTCGAGCTGCTCGGCCAACTTCTCGCCATTGCCATTGCATGCGCACCAGGTGCATGCCTCGACGACCACCTGTGACCTGGGCCTGGGCGGTAACCACAATCCCAATGTGATAAAGTCCACGACGACGGTCAACTCGGTGGCCACCGCCTCCACGCTGGCCGATTCCTGCTGCAGCGGCACCATACAGATCCATCAGGGCATGGGCGCCGGCGCCGCCTGCCAATCCTCAGAGCTGCTGCACATGCACCGACCCACCACCTCTGCCGCCGCCGCCGCGGCAGCAGCATCGGCTTCGGCATCGGCATCGGCATCAGCATCGGCATCGGGCGCCAGCACATCGGCAGCTGCTGCGGCGGCTGCAGCGGCGGCTGCATCAGGGGCGGGTGGTCTCACGCCGCCCCCTCCACCGCCGCCGGCCTGTGATATACTGCCCGCCTGCCAGCGCGAAGGCGGCCCCCACTGCTGTTCGGGGCGTGGCAATGTACGCCAGCGCTGGCACACCTGCCCGGAGCTCCACAAAGCCATGGACGGCGTCACGTACATCGCGGATCAGACGCGCAAAGAGGAGGAGAGCACACGGGTGAGTCAGACAGCCAAAGTCTTTCAGCTCCTCCTCCTCCTCCTCCTCCTCCTGCAGCTGGCATCCAGCATATGTAGGCAGACGGCAAATGAGGCTAAGTGAGGTCGTGAGGTCGTGAGGCCGCCTGGCAAATCCGAAAGCCGCTTAGCATTTGGTGCAGCTTAGCCTAAGTCCCCGTCAGTCGCTGCCGCCGGCAATTGTCAATGCAGGAGCAGGAGCAGGAGGCTCGGAGGCAGGAGCTGGAGCAGTAGTAGGGGGAGGGGCTGGAGATTGGGTCACAAAATTGGGCGTGCAATGTTAATAGGGCAACATTGGCGGGCGCAATAAATTAGAGCGGTCTTAGTCTTGGATTTATTCGAACGTCAATAATCGATGGGCGGCGATGACACCTAACCGGGACACAGCCGGAACAAATGAGCAGCCGAGCCCGGCGAGCAGTCTGCCAGCTCGGTTTCACGTCGATAATGATGTCAACGAGAATATGCTGCTCCTGCTCCCGTCGATGCCACTGCAGACTGGTCAGCCTTGGTCCGTGGTCCTTGGTCCGTGGTCCTTAGTCCGTGGTCCTTGGTCCGTGGTCCTTGGTCCTTGGTCTTTCGGTTGACCTCTGCATCATGCATGCTCGGACTATCCTCGCTCTATCTCTATGCCTATCGCCTCCCCCTCTGCCTCTGGCGCAAAGGAGGCGTCAAAACTTTTAATGACTTTTCATGCGCCTTATGAGCACGGCCTCCGAGTCCTCAGAGTCCTTGCCGTGCAGTCCTTGTGTGTAGCTTGCTCGGGCATAATGAATGTCTTCTGGCAGCACAAATGCCAATAAAAGTATTTTATTAAAATTACGCACACATTCAATCATTATTGGAATGTCATGCTGGGCTTAGACCATGCCACACAGCCGACACAGTGCAGAGCACACGCAGGACATGACACGATAAGCCGCAGGAGATATACACACATATATATATATATATATATATATTTCTGTGTGTGTATGTGTGTGTGTCTGTGGGACAACAAAACATGAGACAGAGCATAATATAACAGAACAGTTGGCGCGCTGGCATTTACATTCAGTTGAAGGGCAGGAATTTCGCGACCGCACGACTCTGAATCTGTGGGGCCAACAACGAAATGCAATTGAGCCCCAATGATATCCACTTCTATACACACATATAAATAGCCAAGGCCACTGACTTCAACTCTGTCTCTGTGTCTGTACGCGTGTGTGTGTGTGTGTGTGTGTGTGTGTGTGTTGGCTGTTTCATGTCGTTTGAAATGCCACAACCTGAGCCACTCACATGCCCAATAACCATTCACTTCACAAGGAGGCCCCAAAGCAATTCAAATCCTTTAAGTGACCAATCAACTCGCATCGAGCTTTCCATAATTAAATATATCCATTTCTATGGAACTGACCTGGGTAATATATATATCATTGAGTGGAGTACCTGGAGTCAACTGCTCGTTTGATGTCTTAGAGGGAGATTTCCGATAGATCCAAGTCTTCTCAGCTTTTCATACACACATATTGGAATCGCCCATTAAATAGAGTTTGTTTCTTCAACTGATATGAGCTCTCGTTCTTCCATTTACCCGATTTCTCTCTCTGTTTTCCTCTCTATATTTCCCTCTACTCTCTACTCTACTTCTATAAAACTATAAAACTCTCTCTCTCTCTCATTATATCCTTCTTTCTACCTCATATCTATATTTTCTTCTTCTGTTTCTTGCTCTCTTTCAGTTTCTGTCTATACATTTTCCTTTCACTTCACATCTCATTCCTCTCTCTCTCTCTCTCTCTCTCTCTCTCTCTCTCTCTCTCTCTCTTATTTTCTCTCCTTCTATTTCTCTCTCTCTCTCTGTCTCATTATCACCCATCTTCCTCTTTACATCTCTTAATCTATCCTACTCTTCTCTACTTCTATTTAAATCCTTAGCTAACTATCCTAGCTAACCTTCTCTTATTTTTTCTTAACTTATATCCATCTCTTTCTCTGTCTCCCTCTCCGTGTCTCTCCATCGTTCTCTCTCTGCCTCTCACTCTACGTCCCGCTGTTTGCATTTCTTTTTTACCTATCCATCTCTCTTCATTTCCCTCACTTTCTATTTATATATCTCGCCACGTCTCACGCTCTATCACGCCTCTCTCTTTCTCTCTGTTTTTTGAACTCTTGAACACTAATTTGTGTTATTGCAATCATTATATTGTAGATGTATATTATATGTTTTTTGTTAACAGGTCAAAGAGGACTGGAAATATGTTGCTATGGTACTGGATCGTCTCTTCCTTTGGATATTCACAATAGCCGTTGTCGTGGGCACGGCGGGCATTATCCTGCAGGCGCCCACACTCTACGACACTCGCGTGCCCATTGACATCAAACTGTCGGAGATTGCCTCCACGACGGCCAAGCCAAATGTGGCGAGGCCCGTGTTGTAAGTCCCGCAAGGTCCGAAACACCCACACACACACACATTCACACCCATACACAGATACGGACACACGCGTATACACACCTACGCACGCACACACACACACACACACTCACATATACATACACATACCCGTGCCCACATACGGACAGTCTGAAAAAAAAAAAACAAAAAACAAAAAACAAGATGAGATTTCGCATTTGTTTTACTTTTTTTGTATCGTGACAACTGCAGCAATCACGACAACAACAACAACAAAGCAAACAACAAACAAGCAAGCAAACAACAACTATAACTATAACACAGATATCGTAAAGAAAAGTATTTGTTATATAGTACATATGTCTGTACTTACATAAATGTATTCATAGGTAAAGAAACCCTAAATAATAATAACTAAAATTGTACACTAATGTTTAGCAAATACAACAACATCTACAACAAAAGGAAAAACAAGGCACAAAATAAGAAAGAAAAAAACAAAAACAAAAAAAAAAAAATTAAAAACTTAACAACGCGAGGAACAAATTATACAAAGTTTGACCTTATGCTCTTCCGGAAATTGAATTGGAACAAATTTCTGATTAGTAAATATCGGAAGGATCAGTTTTTAGAAATTGTTTGTTTTTATGTCGTTTTATGAACTAGAAACTGTTCACTCACACACATACATGCATACACAGAAATAAGTCAGTTCGTTAGCTGATCCGCATATAAAAGAACTGATTCCTTTTTGATTCGCACTTCGTTAGCCGGTCATCGATAGGCGATATCCTTGCAATTGAACTGTAATTGTCAACTGGACTGTAATTGATAATTGTTGTTTTCTGGGACGGCATTTAAAATTTAATAAATATAACAGATGTTAGTCGAAATGTTACTTAGCTAGCTAAACTAAAGCAGAATCATATACAATACGCATACATACATATATTTGTATTTTTCTTTGAAAGTGCCAGAGGCGACAGTTGAATGCAGAATATGAGAGAATGAGTTGTTGAGCTTTCGAGCTGCAAATGATGCATGCAAATTAGTGCAAATAAACAGTGTACGATGCGCCTTGCGGCAATTAGTTAGCACAAAGCTTTAGTTATTATGCCCAAGTGTGCGTGTTTCAAGTGTTGCTGTGCGTGTGTGCACCAGTATGTGTGCCAGTGGCTGCATACATATACAGACGTGCATACATGCATATGCGTGCTTACACAAATACACAGATAGTAAATAATCACCATTTTGAATTCAAATTCAATTTTGGCACACATCAGCTGCGCGCGCGTGCAACGCGCCTAATTGGCCACAGCCGCCAATATTAACCAGCGACATGGCCACAGATCAACAACAGTCCTATTCCTATACATACATACATACATATGTACCTATTCCTATTCCTATTCCTATTCCTATTCCTATGCATTGCATGCATACACACATACATAGGCATACTCTAGCTGAATTTCCTAGCCCACTAGGGCCATTTTAAAGCCTGGCAATAGTTTTTTATTAGCTTCCCCGCCATACATACAAATGTGTGCATATGCTCAAACACATGCATACACACATTCATATATGTGTATGTCTGTTTGTAGCTAAGTTATTATCATAGAAGCAGTATTTCGCTCTCGTTGTTATTGTTGCTCTTCTTGTTTTTGTTGCTGTTATAAATGAGCATGAGCATTTAATGTTCGGCACGTCGAGTATAAATTCTTTCATTTTTTTTTATTATGACTATTTTTTGTTTGTTTTTGTTTTGTTCTTAGTGTATGCTCGACGTTTTTTAATGCACTCGCGCCTCTCATAATTTATGCAAATTTGCAATTGTGCTGCAATTTATGCGCACAATTTACACTGGCTGGCTACCTGGCCGAGCGGGTCACGTGCCAACAGCAGCATCAGCAACAACAAAGAGCAAAAGTCTAGGCGCCAAAAAAAAAAAGAGCTTTCCTCTGTCTCTGAATTTGCTGCGCTTGTAGTTGTTGTTGTTGCCTGGTTTTGTTGTATTTTGTTTGGAATGCTTTGGTTTATTTTATTGCTTCATTGCTCGCCCATTCGTTTATCTGCATTTCCGTGGGCAATAAAAATCAAATAACGTTGATTAAGGCAGGCGGGCGGCAGCTAACAAAAAAGTGTTTTCCAAAAACCTTTTTAAATCCAAAAACCACACGAATTCCCACGTTTAATGCTTAGCAAATGCGCTGGGAAATTTTAACAGCAGCGCAAAAATGTCCCAAAGCCCAACTACTGGCAAGCTAACAGGGTGATGTTAAAGGTCATAACCATTCTTATAGCGTGCTGTTAGTGCTCTGTAATTAAGCCATTTTTAGTTAAAGATCTAAAATATGATCGAAATCTAAATGGGGTTTTTTATAGATATAGGATACCATAATTTTGTACATTTTTATTTAAAATGCAAATTAGCAAATGACTAAAATACCGCACAATCAAATTAATACAAGTGTATGCAGTACAGTAATATATTTAATTTCAATTCATTTTTAATAGCTAACGAATGTGGCTTGTGCGGTATTTTAATTTGTTGTTTGCGATTAGCCCACGGCGATAAATAATATGCGCACATAAAAATACATTTTAATTGCGCGATATTTGACAAATATTTGTAGTCGGTTGAGCTTTGGATTCGAATCTGGGCAAATGATGTTTGCAGTCTTTCGCATTATTGAATTTGTGTCGAATTTTTTCCCTTCATTATTGGCATCTTTTAACGCTTGGCAAACTTTAATTAAATGAAAATGCAGCTGCATACAAAATGAAAAGCCATTAACCAATAACAAATTATTATTTTATGCCACTTATACTATCTGCATATATGCGTGTGTATGTGTGTGTGCGTATGCGTGTGTGTGTGTGTGTGTGTGTGTGTGTGTGTGTGTGTGTGTGTGTGTGTGTGTGTGTGTGTGTGTGTTGGGCGAGGACACAGCAGAGCAGAGAGGCTATAAAAATAGCGAAAATGTTGGGAAAGTTTTTAAAACACTTTTAATGACGGGCCAAGCGGGCAACTCGCCTGGCGTTCGTCTTGTGCGGCTCGCCTCGCCTCTATTCATATCTCTCCCATGTATACCCTTTACTGGCAATGGGGTATATTAGTTACCTGCGCATATAGGTAACTCATATATGTATGTATATATATAGTTATATTCGCTTCGCCTCTATTCATTTATTCACTAGCTGGCAATAGGGTATATTAGTGTCCTACGTATATATAGTTCTATTACTTATCTGGATATCAAATCTATCTAACTTTCTATATCTGTCTCGCGTTTTTCAAATTTTATTACTTTAGCGATAAACTCATCCGATTCACCTATTATATTGGGTTCGATAACTATCGATAGTTGTCGATACTTATCTGTTTTGATTTTTAGCACATAATTTGATAGCATTGACGACATCGAACATCAAGTTAGACATTGCATTGAAACTGTTCATCCGGGTGCGAATTTATTTTGGAATATCTGTTCATATATAAAAGATTGTGGGTAGAGCAAGAGCAGTATGTACTATATGGAGAATAATACTATATAGAGAATAAGCCCAACTTTATGCTAGGTGCAGGGTATTTGCCAGTCGGGCATACTCGACTTGAGCACGTTTACTTGTTTTTAAATAGTTTTGATTTTCTTTTCATATTTTTTGCTTTTGGCTCTTCTTCTTATTTTTTTACGTTGCCTGTCGCCTGGGCGGGCAGCACGGGCGACATCGAGGCCCAACCGCAAATCATAATTGTTGTGGCAGCAACAACAACAACAACAACATCAAAGGAGGTGGAGAGCAACACAACAATAACAATAATACCAGCTGTGGCCAGCACAAAAAGGACATTAGCCTGGCTATCGCCTTGACTGTCTGACTGCGCCGCGCCCAGCTATTACACACGCCCTCTTCAAGACCCCCCACCCCCTCGCTACACCACTCGTTTGTTGTCTGTTGCTTGCTATTGTAATTCTCATTGTTTCATGCATTTTTGCCGTTTGATGCTGCTGCTCCTACTCCTGCTCCTGCTGCTCCTGCTCCTGGTCCCTGTCCTGGCTGCGATGCGTATCACAGCGAGTTTTGTTATAACTTTCCCGCTCAGCCACTGAAAGTATGTTACAGCATTTATCTATTGCCCTGAGACGCGCAACGCGATCTGCCCCCTCTCTCTCTCTCTCTCTCTCTTACTCTCTCTCTCTGTGTGGCAATACAAAAGCAATCATAAAGTTACAGCCGCCAAACTGCCTGCTACCCCTTGGGGCGCCATTTCCAAAAAAAAAAAAAAAAAAAAAAAAAAAAAGAGAATAAATAAAAGTACAGTCAGAGTCGCGCGAGCTCGAGACTTGTTTAAATGGGCCTATCTATAACCACCTAGATAGAGAGTGAGCGAGCGCGAGAGGGAGGAGGGAGAACTGACAAATTTATTGCTTGCTAATAGGAAAACAGTCCAGAAACGGACAAAGGACCAACTTTTGGCAAACGCCAAGCGGAAGCAAAACTGTTTTTCAACATTTGTGTGTGTGTGTGTGTGTGTGTTTTTTTTTTTTTTTCATTTACAACAAAAAATGAAAGGAGAATAAAAATATGTTTTCAGCATAATTTCATTCATTATATACGAATTTCCATTGTTGCGCGCGTGCCGCTCAATTTCGGCGAACTCATTATTGTGCCACGCCCCTCACGCCCCCCACGCCCCACACCCGTTGGCCATGGCTATAGACATAGCCTGCAGTTCACCTTGGGCAAACATATTTTGGCTAATTTGATTTTAATTTCATTCGAAATGTTTTTTCCCACTCTCCCCGTCCCCGTCCCTCTCTCTCTCACACTCTCTCCTTCTCCACACCCCCTCTGTCTGTCCGTTTGTTATTCTTTGAGTGAATCGCTTTGGTTGCTTTGGCTCGGTCTGGCTTGATTGTTAATTGATAATAAAGCAAAGGCAAACAAATAATTCATTCAAATTGATGAAAACCGCAAGAAGAAGCAGACACAAATTAATTGAAATCATTTCCCCGGAACTAAGCAACTGTCGCAGATTTTTGGCCCTAGGCGCACACACTATAAATAAATGCGGGCATTTTAGGCTAAACAATAACGCACACAATTCACAAATATTTGAAAACAAAATGAACAAAACAAAAAAGAAAAGAAAATTTTTAACGAGCATAAGATTTAATAAAAAACGCAAAAAAAAAAAAAAAAAGAATGCAACAATAGTTAAGAAATTCTGCCCTTCACATTGACAGAAGCTGATCGCTACGAGGATGTGTGGAATAGCAGCCAGCTGCATAGAGCAGTAGCGGTCGGCGCTGCCACATCGTTGCGAAATTGATTCAAATGTCTAGCGAAACGCTTGTAACTGTTCTAATGATTCATAAGCACAGCGCACATTGGCTTTTTGAAACGGTTTTCGTACACTCTTTCAGTTTGTTTCAGTGCAACTGGTGGAACTGGCAAACGCAGCGCACATTCCAGTCGCACAATTTCGCATAAGAATATCACTAGTCATTTAAACACTTAAATAAATAGTTTATTGACGTGTTGAAATATTTTTTACCAAATCCAAGTCCACTCGAATCTTTCATGCTGGGAAACATGATTTCATCATTTATAGTGTAAAAAAAATAATCATGAATTGAGAGCAACGTTTTTCGAATATTCATATTTAGGTACAGTACATATATACATATATATGTATGTATATATATATATATATATATATATATATATATATATATATGTATATGTATATCAAACGAAGAGCAACAATTTATATGTGCAAAGGGGGGGAGATATAACAACTAAATATAAACTATAACATAAAATATAATGATATAATATATATTATATATTAAACACAAAAACGAAAAAAAAAGAAAACAATTTTTTTTTTAGAAAGTACCTTTAAATGCAAAATATAAGCGAAAACAAATAACATGAGGCAGATGAATCGGAAGAGGGATGAGAAGAAGAACAAACAACTAACATTAATTTTAAACATAAATTTAATAGTAAAATTAAATGTATTATTGATAAGAAATGGTCAAGAGGTATACACAGCAAATTGTTAACAAAACTTTGAAAAATTGTTTAAAAAAACTAAAAAACTATGAAAAACAAAAACGAAAAAAAAAACTAAACAAATACGAATTGAATTAATTTGTAAGCAAAAAAGCCACAAGAAATATGGAGAAAAAAAAAACATAAAGTAACAAAATATACTTAAACGAAAAATTAAAAAAAAAAAAAAAAAAAACAAAAACAAAAAAACAAACTGCAATTATACGATTTACCAAACCTAAAGCAAAATTGTAAAAATCCCAACACTAAATGTTTTTTTTTTTTTTTTTTTTCTTAATTTAAGTTTTGAAATGGCTTTGGCATGGCAAGAGCATTCAATAGTCGAGTTGTTTGCCCAGCACACAATGCACACTCTATAAATCCACCCCCGACCCCCATTCCCCACCCCTCAACCACACTTCAACAAAATTAAATTAAACACAATTTAAAAGAAGGAATACAAAACAAAAAATATAATAATAATAAAAACACTCAAATACACTCTCTCAAATAATTTGTGGCACCCAGAAAAATGAAAAAGACAACACAAAGTAAAATAAAATAAAATAAAGTAACGCAAAACAAAAGAAAAACGTAAATTTGTTCGTTTGAGCTGTTTGAGAATTTTCTAAAAATGCAAATTGGCAAATTCACAGAAAAAATTATAATTAAAAAAAAAATAAATTAAAAAAAAACAAAACAGGCAAAAAGCCAAAACCAAAAACCTAGAAAAAATACAAAAATACAAAAAACAACAACAAAACTTAGCAAATAGTGAAAACTTTTAAAGGAACGAAAAAAGCAACAGGAAGAAGAAGAAGAGCAAAGCAAACACGATAGAAAACAGAACTAAAAGCAAACGAAAATGATAAGATAAAAAACAAAAACAACAACTACTTATTTATAACAACAAATTAATGGGAAAATGAATGGAAACAAAAAACAAAACAAATGACATAAAAGAAGAAACCAAAAAAAAATAATAATAATAATAACAAATTCAAATAGAAATTCTTTTCAAATATCAATAAAGCAAGAATATTAAAAAAAAAAAAGAAAAAAAAACAAAAAGAAACCAAAAATGACTTTTTTTTATTAATTATAATTAGTAATTTTTAAATACGATGAATGAACAGCAGGGCCGGATTAACGCCCAACGGGGCCTTAGGTAAAGAAACTTAAATAGTAAAGCCTATGATAAGTTGAAGTGCTCTAGATGAGAATGCACGACTACAAAATACCCTGCAGTCTAGAGCTCTTGTCACTCACTCATACTCACACTTACACACACACACGTACACATACATATATACCATCCCCTATGCATCCCCAATGAACTCAATTCGAGTCAGCTAAGCTTTCAGGACCGTCTCTGATGATGTGGCGCTCGATAAATTCCACACGACATGATTCCACTAGGGGCATCTAGATCCAAATAATTACCAGATAAAATTCTACAACTGATTTCTGATCAAGTTTTTAATCGATAAGAATAAAACAGAATTGGACCAACGCAAAAATTTCTAGTCTTTTAACTTTTATGGACTGGCGGATCAACTCATTGCCACGCCTCCTTCTACCTGTTACATATATTTTTACAAGGCTATTATGCTCCAATTTTCCATTTTGAATAGACTCAGAGCATACAAAAAAACTAACACCCACAGTAGAAATTTTGTGTAACATCACTAACCATAGAACTCATAGACCGGACAAGTAGTGTAAAACTTTATGCACACTTTTTCTGTGTTCTATGGTTAGTGGTAATATTCAAGCTGTGCTTAAAAACGAAAATAAATCGATATGAGCCGATATCAATAGGATATATCGATATTTATCGATTCGATCGAGTGAGCTATCGAGAAAATATGTATACAATATTTGTAATATTAAGAGTAGATATTGAAACTTCCAAATCTCTATCTATTGAATCTTACGGACGGAGAATATTAATATTAAGGTCAAGCTTCTAATGGCATTTCCTGAATCCCTATTTATGGGACACACAGGGCCGGATCGAACACATGAATGTCATTTGGCGAGGTGTAGGGAGTGCCCTTAAAATAGAGATCAGTTTCACAGACCTGAGAATTAAATATTATAAGAATTACATACAGATATTCTTGATTTTAATGAGAATTAGAATGAGAATTCTTGTTCTCACGACAGATGTGGGGCTTTACGGGTGATGCAGGCCCTGGGACCCTGCCCCAACAACTATGATATACATAGGTAGACAATCAAAAAAACAGTCCAATTCAGAATTTGATGTCTCTAGTTCAAATTATACTCTTAATATGTTATATTATATCTAATTTATTATAAATTACAAATCTCCAGTCTTCGTAGTAAATAAGTTCACAGAGATCCCCAGGGGGATAAATATACATGGCTGAATCAACTCAGCAGGTGAATCTTATATAGTATTTACATAATCTCTGAGATCATGTGATTATTCTCTTAGCAATTTCATTCCATTATACCTAATCAAAAATGCATTTGTATTTCAATTTGTTAATCACTTTATTAGAATTGAACTACAACAGATTTATAGGTCACAGCGGAAAAGAGAACTATTTGTAGAGCTAAGGTGGTCTAAAAGCTACTGCTAGATATTCATACTAAGTACATAAATAAGCATTGCTGCATAGCTCACTAGGCGTGAGAGATTTTCAATAACTAACTAGGTACTACAGAGAGAGAGAGAGAGAGAGAGATATTAAGAGAGCGAGATAGAAAGAGAGAGAGAGAAATAGAAGAGTGTAAGAGAACATGTGTCGAATGTGTCGAATTGTGTGTGTGTGTGTGTGTGTGTGTGTGTGTGTCTTTGATGTGATGTTTTTCTTTTGGTATGTATGTATTTATATATGTATAGTATGTTTATATAAATATAAATGTGCATTAGGATGCGTGCTCAAGACTCGGGAGGTAGTTGGAAATTGTAGCGCATCGAGCACCTTTGGGGCCTTGGGGCTTTGTCTTTTATAAGCAGAAGAAACAGTTTTGTTTGCTTGTTGTGGTTGTTGTTTTTTTTTTGGTTGTGTGCAGTCAAGAGCAGAATCTAATCAATTCGTGGTTAGCTCCTCGCTATCATCCTCCGGCTCGGCGCCGCGACCCTCGCGAATACGCTTCAATTTGCGCTTCAGCATCATAACGCCTGCAATAAGCAATTTAGATAAGTTGAGATAGACTTTGTGATAAGTGGAGAGCGTACACTTGATGGCCTGATAGGTCTTGGCCGAGGCGGACTCAGTGGCTGGCAGAGGATTCGATGTGGCCTTCTCATGCGCCAGCTTCACCTCAAGATAGGCCCGCTGCAGCGTCTTGAAGTGGCGATACTCGCTGGTGTCCTTGATGAGGATGCATCTGCAAGGATTACATGACAGATGATATAATATATGATATGTAAGAGAAGAGAGTTTCCTTTGCTCACTTGGCTGCCGAGCCCTCGCCGGAGCAATCAGATGGCGCCGTATGATAGATCTGATGATAGAAATACTGCAGCACCGGCGAGTTCCAGATGGCCAGGCCATACCACACCCAGATGGCCACATTGAGCGGCAGCTTGAAGTTCTTGGCAAACAGCGTGGGTATGAAGTAGTTGAAGGGCAGCAGATTGATGTGCACATGCAGCCAGGCGGCAATCTTGAGGCCCATAAACACTTGATAGACCAAGCGGTTGCGATTCGAATTCTGCAAGGCCAACAATGAGAGGCATTCCGTTAGAATGCTGTACAGCCCCAGCGTGAGATTCAGGCCAACAAAATAGTTTTCGTATCTGCAAATTTGAAAATTGTTCGGAATTAGATGTATGTCTAGATGGCCGGCTGCACATGCCTGTAGACATCGATGGCGATGAGGGCGAACAGATAGAGGCCCTTGGAGACGGTTTCCAGAAAGTCCGCCTCCTTGAAGTCCAGCATGGCTCCATGCAGGTAGAACGTTATTATGAATATTGAGTAGAACTGAAATTTCTCATATTGATGCGAGCGATAGAAGATGAGATTGTCGGAGCTATGGAAGAGCGAATAACGACCCTGGTTCTTCATCAGATGCGGCAGTATCATGAATTCGTTGTAAAAGTGCAGAAAGAGACAGCAAGCGCCATAGAATGCAATATTCCATATCAATCGAGCGAACTGTTTGCGCTTGAAGTACTTTACGTTTGACGATTTCAAAAAGAACTGCAAGGGACAGACAAGAAGAGAAGAAGAGGATGATGAATAATAACAAGAAGAAGAAGAATAAACGACAGCCAATTAGTCGCCGAACATAGCATATACTTCCCGGTGCAATGCACACACGCACACACACACACACACATCATGCTTATGTGACATATTTATGCAAATGCATATGTGTGTGTGTGTGTGAGCTTGGCTTGAGTGTGGCTTTTTTGTTTTGCATGCTTTAAATGTTTTTTTAATCTTTATAGTTGTTGGTCGCGGCAGTCGGTCGCATGTCTTATCTTAACGTCGCCGTAGCCGTAGCCGCTGGCGCTGGCGCTGGCACAGCCGTCGACGTCGTCGTCGTCGTCGTCCCCGTCGTCGTCGCCGCTTTACATCTGGCTGTCGACTATTTATAAACGCCAAAATAATTGGGCACCAACGGCAAACAGCAGACGGACGCCGTGCTATCGCTTACTGCTGCTGTCACCGCCGTCTGGCGTTGCTACTTCAAATTCGCTCACCTGGAAGACGCGCTGAAATCCATAGAAGCCGCAGGATAACACTATAAATATCCAGAAGACCGCATTGATCAGGTAATGCAGGTCGATATTCTGTACCAGCGCATCGAAGCGATCGTTCGTAATTAGATATTTCAGTGGCAAAAAGAAGTTTCCGATTTCTGCCCAATAATCCGGCGGACCGGCTTTCATATCCAGTATAGACATCTTTGGATCGTTGCGGCAGCCGCTGCCACAATAGCAGCAGCTAGCAGTAGGTGGATCGACCACAAGTGAAACTCAGAATTTAAACGATTGCCATGCAGCAATTGGGATGTCAACCTGAGATGGACAGTTGGGTGTATTTATAAACAGTAACAATTTTTTTTTTTTTTTTTTTTTTTTAATATTTATTTACGTGCCTGGTACATGGCAGTCGACAATCGATAAATGTTCTGGCAATTGCTATGACGATATATCGCCAGCTGAAGTTTACTTTCGATAGCTGGCTGTCAAGCTGCCAACTTGTTTGCAGAGCGCTGTAATTTAAATTCAAATTCAAATTTAAATTTTGTTTATGTGCTTCGTAATATTGCAGCTCTCATTCGCACACAAAATGGAGCAATCCTCAGTCGCTCACATTGTCGACTATCCAGATGAGCCTATCGACCTGCTCCAACAGCTACTGGATGCAGTCAAAAAACATCACCCGAACTCACAACAATACATGAATTTGGCCACCGTCGACGATGAATTTGCCGTACTCAACCGGACCGTGCTATATCGTGGCATTAGCGCCGACAAATGCATTATCTATGTAACGCAGCGATTCACGCGAAACTATGAGAACATTAAGGCCAATGCCAAATGTGGCGTTACCATCCTAATGCCGGAGGTAATGCTGACGTCACAAGAGACCACGCCCTCCATCTGGCAGGTTCGCCTCTTGGGCGCTACCGCTGTAGAGCTGCCTGAGTCCGAGCTGGATGCATGGTGGAACAGAGAGTTGCTATCGGCGAAAATACGTGACATCATCTTTCCCTGTGGCCAGCCGGTGGACTACGATGAGCTCAAGGCCAAGCACGATCAGTTCCTCAAGGAATATCAAGAGAGCGGAAAGCCGCTGCAGCGCCCCCCAACATTGTATGTTCCTGAAAGTATCTTGAATGTATTTCACATTAACAATCTGTCATCTCCAACCAGCACCGCCTTCAAGTTTGAGGCTCAGCGCTATGACTTTCTCAAAGTGGGCGTGAACCAGATCGCGGATCGGGTGCAATATCGGCGACAGGCGAATGGCACATGGGAGGCAATGCATGTGTCGACCTGAATTGAGTCCTCAGAAATGATGAGCGCGATAGATCCAACTGTATTTTACACACTTCCATTTTTAATTTAATTTTATTTTTATTCAACTATCATTTGCAATAGCAAAACAATTGTTCTCAACAAATACAAACAAAAATTATAATTACAGCAACTAAATGTAGTACTAACTAAATGTCCTTTGTTTTCGTCTCTTCTTTAAATGTTTTGTTTAGCATACAGTTAAAATAGTTAATAAATATTACACAAAACAGTTAAAAAAAAAAGGTTGGTTATAATAATACATAATATTAGATTAAAACATGCAATTAAGTTATGATTAAGGTTGCTTCTTCTTGCTTTTTACATAATACACGTTAGTTTATCCATTCTTTTTTACAATAATTATGATATGATGCCGCCTGGTGCGCCTACGCCGCATTCACTGTCTCCCGTATCCAATCCGCATTGGAGGCAATCTTGTCATACATGCGCGGCCGCTCCACACCCGTCGGTCCGCAAGCGATGCGCCAGGAGGAGACGCCAATGAGTGCCCATTGATTGGTGCCCGGTATGAGGCATTGGACGGGCGCGCCGGAATATTCCTCTTGCTGCAAGTGTATCAAAATTATTTCATAAATAATTAAATTACATCATTTAGCCATGTGTAGATATGTTTGTACATATGTATGTATGTATTTACATAAATAAACTTAGCACGCAACACCCTGTTTCTGACTATTGTGACGTCACATGACAATCGCGACATGCAGCGACGCGTTCAGCAACAAGCACAAAAGCAAAACAAAACAAAATATAAAATGTGAGTAATGCCATATCAACAACACAATAACAAGGCGAAATATGCTCTATCTCTTTCCCGCATGCAAGGCAAATGCAGAATAGCACGAGCGCACACGCACACACACACACAAATAGCAAATGCTAGAAACATCCCTGGACAATGCGAGCTCTCTTACCTACTCAATAGGATAGGAGAAAAAGCAGAAAACAAAAACAATTTGCACCCAGGCCGCAGCTGCAGTGCTAGATCGAACAGGCTCTCTCCCTTTCTCCATCTCACTCTTGCCTGCTGATGTGCATATAAAAGACGATAGCGCGCGCCAAAGCCCCGTTTATTCGAGCGTCGGCAGTGCAAGTGAACGGAACGAAGACTCATTCAGTATTAGTAGCAAAAGGAGAAGAGGAAGAAGGAATTAACAGTTAAACGCGCAGCGCAGGCGTCATTAACGAATTTCACCATGTTGGATATAAAAAACTGCCTGAAGATCAGCTATCAAGGCGAAGTGAGCTTCATCATCTGCGACGCGGGCAGCAGCTACGAGGAAATCATTAGCCAAGGTAAATGAGTTTTCTTTTTTCCTCTTTCCTATCCAAGTTAAATGAATTTCCTCGATTCCCACAGTCTGTGCTCGCTTCCACATACCCGAGACGCAGCGGGCCGGCCTGATGCTAACCAATGGCCAGGGCTATGAGTTCGAAAAGCACCTGTTGGAGTACTTTCTGGTGTTGTTCCCCTGCCCGGAGCTGCTGTTCCAGCTGCGCATCAACTGGCAAAGGCTGCGCCGTGCCCTCCTCGAGCCCGTCAAGCGACGGCGCTCCACGGGTGACTTAGTCGATGCCCATCTGCGATCTGAAGCTGAAGCTGATCCCACGGCGGATTATGAGGCGGTACCAGTGCATCGTCAGAATTGCTTTATCGGCGCTCTGCCCGGCAGCGCTCTGGCTGCTGCAGTGCGTCAACAGAGTCGCTATCTCCAGCAACGGCAGCCACAAGCAACGTCCGGGACGCTACGTCGACTCCGGCCGGAACAGCCGGAGCCACAAGCGGAACCCAAGCGAATGCGTCTTCAGCTGGCCAACAGATCGCGACGATCGGCTCCCAGCGCTGGCCCCACTACATCCCTCCTAACAACAGCAAAGCGCTCCATACGCATCTAAGCCAAAGAAGCAACTAGTCTGTCCCCTCAACCAGGACGAAATTGTATATAGAAAATCTTCAATTTTTTTTTTTTTACATTTAACATTAAGGTTACAGTTCCAAGCATATACATACATACATACATACATATAAACATACATATGTATGTACATATACATATATACATAATGGAATGCAACATTGAAAAATATGAAATGAAATAATAAATATGTATAATAAAGTATAAAATATATAAATAAATATAAATCTATACATATACTACATATGTATAAAGATAGATATGTATATAATCCCTATTACTTGTCAGTCAATTAAGTTAAAGTTCTGTACAGACGAAACATAAGACCTTAAATTGAATCGGGCGCTCATATCTATAGGCTATAGCCAGAAGCAATCGGAACTCCAGCTGTGTTACGGCCAAAGGGGCGGATTATATAATTTATAGATCGATCAGAGTGTAGAGTAGATCAACTGTAAATCAACTACAACTATTGATCTCGGTTATAAATTTTATTAAATTCTTGATTGGCTTTTCACAATTTCCCATGGAGAAGAGCAAAAATAGAACACATCTCACATATGTTTCTAGCTCTTCAACTATAACGACAAGCTGAACTCTATCAATAGGTGGACAGATGGACCCAATCGATGCCTATTTGAAGCTGGTGGAGCTATACGACGAAACAGAAAACTCTAAAAGGCACTCGACACTCCATAATGCAGAAGTCTGGACTAGTCTGGTTAGAAGTAGTTGCTCTTCGAAAGAGCAATTTGTGGCAATATCTCTAACAATAGGTGGAATGCCGAACTGTGCGAACTGTACGACGATGGATGCTTAGGTGAAGTCAAGGTGGAGCGTCAACTCCAGCTGTAGCTATCTTTTATACGGACACAACGAAGGAGAGGAAAGCCATGAGCGCGCTGGAAGGTCCAAGAGAATGATTATATATCCGGATTCGGTATTAGCAGCCGACAAAGTCACACCTAGGAAAGGGACGCTTGGTGGCTACGTTAGGGAGGTTATTGTTACTTATATATGTATACATATATTGATAGTCATCCCAATCTAATTATGGGTTATTTTCCCCTGATTTGCATCTTCCCCAATAGACGTAGCGAATAGATCTCAACATGACATGAGTCGATATATTCAAAATTGTATAATGCATGCACCTACTACGAACGACCGAATGGATTGCAAAACCCTCAATATACTCTCTTTTCACTTCGTGGGCGGGCATTAAAATAAATGGATGCACGTCTAAGGGACCGTCGTTATAACCGGAAGACGCTATATCCATATAAGTTAGCCCAAACAAGTTTGTCTAGTGATCAGAACCATACGGACGCTATAAGCGGAGTCGTTATAGTCGGATGCTACCGTATAACTATTTCTCTATGATATTTCTCTGTAGCACTTACCGTGCAGTCGTATTTCTGGTAGGTGGCCTCCATGCACATGGAGTTGACCGTCGTTATGGAGATGTTTTCGCAGGGCGCCATGTCCCCGATCTTGAGCTGCACCCGCTGCAGATGATCGCGCTGGCGGGACCAGCCGAGGGTGTTGCAGTTCGTCCAGATTTCCTCCGGTGCACTGGGTGGCTTTGTAGTTTTGGACGCCTGCGAGGCGGAGGATTGGCCATAGTAGTTGACCTGTGGGGCGCTGTCTGGCAGCGGATAGGCGGCCAGCTGTGCCCGATGATCCGCTACATCCGGCAACTGTTGCAGTGCCTCGGCACGCGGCATTTGGGAGGCGGCGGCCTCGGCCATTAGATGGTCATAGCCAATGTCTTCTTCATGCTCCTCGGGGCTGGCATCCGAACTCTCTGGCTGCTCCTGCTGCGAGGGTATCAGGAAGAACTGTTGCGTCTCCTGGGCCAGACGGCGCTGCGCGTGTGATGCAACTGGCGCTTCCAAGCGTTCGGCCACTGGGACATAGGCGCGCCGTTGCATCGGCGTTTGCTGCTGCTGCCGCTGCAGTGCGTCGGGCAGGCAAATGGGCCGCACGTGATCTGAGAAGCTGACCGGCGTCTCCAGACGCACCAATGCCGCTGTGGAGCCCTCAACGGGGCTTTTGATCATGCCAATGATGCGACGTCGCTGTGTCCACGGCGCTTTCGCCGACAGACGCACTGCGCCCACGATGGCCATCCAGGTGGCCCTCGGCTGACCCTGGAAGCAACTTTCCGTGGTCAGTACCCAGTCCGGCGAGATGAGCGTGCCGTCGCAGACGTGGATATCCTCGCGGAACAGCGCCACCAGCCACGGCCAGTCGCCTGGCGCTGCCATCTTGGGCAGCGAAAGATGCTGCTTCGCATTGGGCAGCGCCGACTGCACGCCGCACCGCAGATCGCCACAGCCCACATAGAGCACTTGTCTCTTGGGACAATGGGTGCGTATGAAGCTAATCTCCGGCGCATGCGGGTCTAAGACGCGCACATAGTCCGACAACTGTTCGGTGTCATTTTGCACATCAAAAATTTCCACAGATCTGCCAAAGAACAAGATTAGTTGAAGAAATTAATAAGATTAGCCTAAATTCCAATTTTCAAACTGATATTTTCATTCAAGGCGTTGCCACCCAGCCGTTAAATTTAAATGTAGCTTTGCCGGCTAGCCAGTCAGACAATGGCCTTACAGTCCAGGTTCTTGACCTTGCCACCTGATGGTTAAATTTAAATATTTAAATTAAAATAAGCCTTGCCAGCTCGACAATCAGGCAATGGCTTCGCAGTTAAAGTTCGTGGTGCTGCCACCTGGCCGTTAAATTTAAATATTTAAATGAAAATATCAGGGTGTTGATGATGTTGCCAGACAAGCGCATACAATTGTATTGCATGTGAATTGTATTGCATGAATTGAACATTCAAATGGTTGCACTCACTCATAGCCCAGCGATTTACATAGGGATTCCGAGACGGTCTGACGTACCACCAGCTTGGCATCACCCTCTAGACCCTCAGCGCACAGCTTGCCAACAATGCCCTTCTCGGAGAAGACAGCATAGCCAGCGGCATGGAAGCGCGGCAGATAGGGCACCCAAGGCTCCGGCTGCAAGAGATCCGCGGCCAATGGAGCTATCGAAACTGCAAGGGAGCATACACAAGTTTAGCTAGATTATCAACAATTTGCCGCAGCAGCAACTTACGGCAATCCTTTTCATCAGCGCCGTCCGGGCAGTCGGCCTTGCCATCGCATCGCGCCTTGCGCGGCACACAGGCACGCCCACGTCCACAGTAGAGGGCATTGGGAGCGCAAAAGGCGCAGCTGCGCTCATCGGACAGATCTGGGCAGTCGGCATAGCCGTCGCAGAGGCGCGGACTCTGCACATTGCTCTGCATGTCGCCCACGCAGTGCGGCTTCTGCTGGCAGGATTGGGTGCCCGTCGACTCCGGGAAGCGTTCGCAGTCGAAGTGCTGGCGGAAGCGGGCAGGCAGCCGGCCGCCACAGCCGGCCATGAACGCCTCACAGTACTCGCGGCAAATGGCACCGGGCGTCGGCTCCTGGGTGATGCCATGGGACTCGCAGGGCGGCTGCAGCAGGCGGCAGACGAAGTCGTAGGCCTCGCGGAAGCACTCGCCGTCGACCAGCTCGCGGAACACAATGACATCGTCCACCACCTGCTCGTAGGTGGCATGCCCCAGCAGATTCGGATAGGTGGTCACGTTGTAGCCCACGTTGCGGCAGTAGTTCAGCTGCAGCGGCTCACAGCGGCGCGGCTGTGGTCGTGGTGTGGTGCTGGTGGGCTCCGTGGTCTCGTCGTGCCCGCCCAGCGGCGAGCTGGACATAATGGGCTCCTCGATTAGTCCCGTTGTCTCCTTAATGGTCACGCTCGCCACGTCCACCGTCATGTTGGCAAAGTGTCGCCTGTGCGGATCGCTCAGCTCCTCGTGGAACAAGGCCAGCAGCTCCCCGCTGCTGACGAGGCCCGCATACGGATCGAATATCATATTGAAGTGGACCACAATATTGTTGTTGTCCTCGCTTCTGCAAAGAAATACATTTGTATGGGATATCCGCTCAGGTAGTTCAAGCTGATCTCTTACCCATCCAAGGCCAGAATCTCGCTGCCTTCATAGGCTTCGCGCAGATCCGAGCGCCGCAGCGTCAGATTGATGCGTTCCCGATAGTCACGTGCCTTGTGCTGGAAGCGCAGCGAGTTCTGATTGGCCAGCTCCATGCTCCACTTGTCGTTGAGCACCATGAACTTGCCGCGGAACACGCGATCCGGCAACGGCTCCGGCCGGAAGTAAGTGTCTGCAATGGAAGGTCACATTAGCCGAGGCACTCGCTTGACCTGACTTGGCTTGGTTACTCACAGCCCACGTATACAAAGGCGCCGGCCACCAGCAGAGCGATGAGGAAGCCGGCTATCACAGCGCATCCGCACCTCTGGCTGTCGCCCAGTTTGCGACGTGTGAACCGTATGTCCGAGTCGGTGGACAGCACGGACTCGGACTTGCGGCGCAGTCCATGATGCGCATGCGTGTGACTGTGGCTGTGCATGTGCAGGTGATGCTGTTGCTGTTGCTGCTGTGCCTGGTGCAGCTGATCCGCTCCAGAGCCAGCTCCCACTCCAGCCGTCACAAGTCCGTTGCCATTGCTGTGGGAATGATGGGGCTTATGGTGTCGCGTGCAGCGTGTGTTGTGGAATACCTTGGGCGGCTGAGAGGCAACTGTTGTACCATTGCCATTGCCATTGGGATTGGGATTGCTTTGGACGAGGCCCTAAGAGCAGACAAAATTGTTATTTACTCGTAATTAGTGACATGGCCATAAGCCGGCGGCAAGATTTCCAGCGGCCACGGACGACTGGTCAATGACCACAAAAGCGCCTTAAAATTAAACACGCTGATTTTGCGCCAAATCATGCCGTTAAATCAACCAACGAAACGAACGCCAAAACACGCCAAGTGCCAAGTGCCTTGGTAATGAATGAATGCACTTGAGCGCGTTAATAATTGTTGGAATTTTGTGCTGTTCACTTTGCTGCGGCACATGCAAATGCACTGCAAACGCAATATTTGCATGCAGCAAAAACCAAGGAAGCGACGCGTCATTTTAAATTTCATTT